GGGGGACTCATATAAGGAACGGACACCATATGGGGGGAAAGATATAGGTGATGGACACCGGAGGAGGGAGGGGGAATGGAAATAAGGATTGGAGGTGGGGGAGGGGAGTAAAAGTGGGGAAGTGAAGGGAGCGGATAAGACTCCAGGGGTTACATTTCACTGGCCTTAATGAGGATCAGAGCCTGGGGCAGGGTCCTGACCTGCCCCCTACTCCCATCACTCAATCTTACTTGTATTGCCCCCCTCCCCCCGCAACAAACACACACATAATTTGGTCCCCCCCCACTGCCCTGGTCTCTCCTCCCCCAACCCATTCCCTCTTTCCTCTCTTCCCTCCATCTGGACCCTTCTTTCCTCCCCCCGCTGCCACCCTCTCTCTCCATCTGGCCCCTTCTTCTCTCCCTCCATCCTCCTCTCTTTTTCTACTCCCTACCATTCTCTGAGCCCCCCCACCATAATCTGTCCCCCATCTTCTTGGCTTCTCTTTTCACCCCTATGTTTTCATTTCCCCCTCCTAGCCCCTATCCTAAGACTCTGTCCTTCTATTTCCTTGATATTTTCCTCATCTCTCAGCTCCCACCTCCAAATTATTTCTGCAGCTCTTCCCCCAACCCTATCCTTCTATCTTCCCACCCTTTCTGGCAATCTTTCCCCTTCATCATTTTCCCCCCAGTCCCCTTCAAGGCCTGTTTCCTGGCCCCTCCAGCCCCTATCTACCCCTATCCTCTAGCCTCCAACCCCTCCTTCCCCGTTGCTCCCATCCCTGCCTTCCCGGTCCTCCTCTCTCCCTCCATTTCAGCTGCTCCCCTCCCTGGCCCCAGCTCTGCACCCCCCCACCCCTGCCCCTCCCCCTCCAGCCCCCCCAGCCCTCCCCCTCCCCTCAACCACCGTACCTCTGAAGGGGGCATAGGACATCGCGGGGATGCTCCCCCGATGGATGGAGGCGCGAGACCTGCTCATCAGGCCTAGGGGGGAGGGGGCGGGGGGACGGGGGAGAAAGAAGAGAGAAAGAGGGGGAGAGAGAGGGGGAGAAGGAGGAGGAGGTGGAGGAGGAGGAGGAGGAGAGAGGAGGAGAGAGGAGCGGAGAGGAGCAGAGAGGAGGAGAGAGGAGGAGGAGGAGGAGAATAGGAGCCAACGGCAGCAGCGGCAGCCGGGAGAGAGAGAGAGGGGGGCGGGGGAGCGAGCGAGAGGAGAGAGCAGGAGGAGGAGGAGAGAGAGACTCTGCAGCCCCCACCCCTACTCAGTGGGAACCAGAGAGAGAGAGACCCCTGACTCAAAAACACACCAGAGAGAAAGAGAGCAGTTCTAAAGATGCAGACCCCAGACCCTGAGATCGAGAGACCCCAGACCCACAGAGAAAGATACCTTGCCACCCCTGGGAGTTAATCTGAGGCACAAACCCAAACTCTAGAGGAAAAGAGACCCCAATCTCAGAAAAAAAGACCCCAGACTCCCCCCTGAGGGGTCAAAGATCAAAAATCTGAGCATCCAGTCTCAAAAAGGTTCTCCATAGCCACAGAAATGTTAGACTCCAGGCTCACGTGGTGATTTTCAGGGACCAAGACCTGAGATGGAGACTCAGAGAAAAAAGATGAGACCCAGATTCAGAAGAACTTAGACCTAGAATTAGGTCTTAGAGAACTCAGACCCAGAGAGAGGTATCAGAGACCCCAGACTTAGATCTCAGAAGAAAGAAATTGCAGACTCAGAGACAGAGACAATCCAGACCTGGGGGGGAGGGGGGGGAGGGCGAGAAGGGAGAGAGAGAGAGAAGAGACACTCAGCTAGCCCAGAGATGGAGAACTCAGAGACCCCAAACACATAAAGAAGAGTTTGAAAGACCTCAGAGAGAGTGATTGCAGACCCAGAAACACAGAAACCCCCAAAACAAAAAGGAAACTCAGTCCTGAGAAAGATCCCAATGCAAATTCTGAAACACCCCATAGAGCTCCATCTCAGAGACAAACTCCAATCCCAAAGACAGAAATCTCAGGGAGATCCTAACCCCAGAGAGGTAGGTATAAGAGAACTCTGACATCAGCCTGGGAAACGCCCAGTCACACCCACCCAGCAGACCAGAGACCCCAGACCTTGGAGGGAGGGGGGATACTGGGTAGGGGGAGTGGCAAGAGCTTTTTTCTCTGTCGCCTCCTCCTACCTATCTCTCCTCTCATTGGCCCCTGTCTCCATTTTTGGGTCACAGGATGTGCTTGGGCCCCAGGGAGGTTATGTAGGGCAGGTCCTGGCTCCTAGGGGGATGGGTTGATGGAAGGAGACCCAAGGCTGAGGCGGTAGACCAGTCCTGGAGAGTCTAATAGTTAGGGGATAAGGGAAAGAAGGACCATCACTACTTCCTGGTGTCTTCTCGGTATCTCTAACCTGCAGCCCTCATCTCCCCCCATCTCGCCAATTCACCAGTCTGTCTCTAGTTTTGGGGTTTCAGTTAAGAAGGCTGAGGCGCCCTCAGCCCCTCTATCCCATTGACAGGGTCTCACTCTGTCCTTTGAAAATGCATCTTTCCTCACCTAGGCATTGTCTTGCCAAGCCCGTGCCTGCCTAATCACTTCCCTCTACCCAGGGACAGCTGGCTTCTCCTCAGATTATCATTGTTCATTCCCAAACCAGGCATCTGTCAGTCCTAACCAAAATGGCAGGGGGCGCTCTCTTCGCCCCCGAGGTTCAATCTTCTCAGACCCTCCCACTCCTTAAGGCCTCGGGAACAGTGTAGGGGCTGTCAGTGGGCACATTTTGGGGTTTAAGGATGATTTCCCACTCTACAACCTGACGCATCGAGTCTGCGGGATCTTTAGCCCCCCCTTTCCTAGCGCCAGCTCTCTCATCACGTGGCCTGCGGGGCTGGCCTGTGATTGGCCTTTTCGTGTCGCTCATTGAGGTACCGCCGCTTGAGGGGCCCGGTCCCCTCACGTGACAGTGGAACGCCGCAGCGGCTCTCCTCAGCCCGCAACGGGCTGTTTCCGGTTTACACGGAAGCGAGCGTGCCATTTCCGTGCACGTCTGCAGATCCGGCTGTCGATTGGTCAGATCCCCCTTCGCTCCTCCCTCACCAGGAGGCGGGGCAAGTTGGGCCACGTGAGGGCCAGGATTGGCTGGCTCTGGAGGGTCGGGTGGTCCGGTTTCTACTGTCACGTGGTGTGCGCTGTTTTCTTATCACGTGGCTGCCGCCCAGGTAAGAAGGGGCAGCTCTTCCTGGCTTTGGGGTCCTTTCTCGGCGTTACGTGTGGCGTTTGATATTCAACGCACCTCTACCAGCATAGACTGCATGAGGGGGGGGCGGGGTCCCGCCATCCTGCTCGGCGGAGGGGTGAGTGACTGGCCCCGCCCCTTCCGGTCCTTCAAGCCGCGGTCACCACCCGCACCCTAAATCCTGGAGGTTGGCCCTTTAGGAGGGAGTGAAAACCAAGTATTTGCCATAAATTTTCCAAGTTTCTCTCCCAGTGTCAGGGACCTTTTCCTTCCGGGTGCAGAAGAGGGAGGGCAGAGCCTGAGTGTATATCAAGCCAAGGGTTCCTAGGATGCAATTTCCTGGGGTATTTGCGGGGAGACACTGAATTCACCTCCTGCTCTCAGGCCGCTCTGCTCCTGTCGCTTCTTTGGATGCCAGCGCTGCTGCCTGTGGCCTCCCGCCTTCTGTTGCTACCCCGAGCCCTGCTGTCCATGGCTTCAGGAAGCCCCCCGACCCAGCCCTCGCAGGCCTCGGGCTCTGGCTATGTTCCCGGCTCCGTCTCTGCAGCCTTTGTCACCTGCCCCAACGAGAAGGTTGCCAAAGAGATCGCCAGGTGGGGACATCAGTGTGAAGCAGGGAAGGATGGTCATGAAGGGAGAGTTGGGGGTGGGGGAGAAGCGTGCCCCCTCTGCCTGCTCTGGCTTTGGAAGCCTGTCTCTGGGCTGCCAGTGCACAAATCTGGGTCATGGGCGCTCTGAATGGGGCTGTCTCTTCACCTTCGGGGCTGTCTCTTCACCTTCAGGGCTGTGGTGGAGAAGCGCCTGGCGGCCTGTGTCAACCTCATCCCTCAGATTACATCCATGTGAGTCATAGGAGTTGGGGGGTTAACCTAACTCCAGGGGCTGACTGGCAGTCTTTTTCCTTGAGCGAAATCTTTGCTCCCACAACACTCTCTCCCTGACCTTTTCAGCTATGAGTGGAAAGGAAAGACTGAGGAGGACAGTGAGGTGCTGATGGTGAGAAACATTCCCCTACCCGACAAAACCTCAATTCCCTGACCCCTTTAACCCCATCCCTCATCTGAGATCCTGAAATCAATCAACCCTTCCCCCTGATTCAACCATGTCTGCCTTTGCCCCTTAGATGATTAAAACCCGAAGTTCCTTGGTTCCAGCTTTGACAGATTTTGTTCGGTGAGAACTGTGAGATGGGTAGGGGTGAGGGTGTATACTGTGGGGTGGGACTTGCTGGGCAGTCTGAGGAGGTGGGCTCCTTTGGGTAAATCTTTGAGCGATCCTCCCTGTCTTTTTTGCAGTTCTCTGCACCCTTACGAAGTGGCCGAGGTGATTGCATTGCCTGTGGAGCAGGGGAACTCCCCATACCTGCATTGGGTGCACCAGGTTACAGAGGCAGTTTCTGACTCCAGCACAGTTCTACCCTGACGAGCCCTGTTCCTGCCATGTTCCCCTCATATACTTCAATGCCCTCTGACTTTCAGGTGATGACTGGGTCCCTAATAAATCCTGTCTTTGGTTCTTGCCACCTTTTGCCTTTTTCCTTGTCATATATGTGAATTTGGTTGGGAAGATTAGAAGTGCTTCTACTCCCATCTTTCAGAATGACTCGGGGATACCAGATTTGTTTATTTATCTTTATTTCAATCATACAGAGTCTGGGATCCTTTATCATTCCCCCCTCCTCAGTCTCCGTCCCCAGGGGTTAAATAATTTTAAAAAATATTTAAAAAGCTGTAACAAAATAACATCAAAGGAAATGGGAAGAGGGATGGGAGAAGGGTCAGGAATCATGAAGGGAGTAGAGAAGAGAGAGCCTCTTCCCCAACCCCCCACCTGGATTCCAGCCTGGGCAGTAGAGAGAACTACCCCCTACCTCCCCAGGTACATCCCAGCTGTAGGTGAGGTCAGAGGTCAGGGTATGAAAGTGCCGGTGTGTGTGAATAGGGAGGTGGACAGAGGCAGGCTGTTCAGAAGATGCCCCCACCTCCCCACTCAACCAGGTACTGCACAGAGCCATCCGGCCGTACTCTCCGAGCAAGGACCCGGACGGGGTCCCCTCGGGAGAGGTAGCCAACCCCACCTCGGACTCCTCCTCCAGTCCCAGGAGACAAACTACGGCACAAGGGAGAAGGGGGTGCTGAGCGTCTAGGAAGACTTGGGGAGGGGGCTGGGACTGAGGAAGATGAGGCAGTCATCGAGTGGGGGGCACTTTTAGGGATGTCTGTGGGGAAACCAATGTGAAGTTCCAGGGGTGACCTAGGGAGAGAGGGCAATTGTGAGTCCTGATGCAGATGAAGACTGACCAGAAATGGAGGCCACATGTGGATCAGAGGAATGAAGAAATGGATAGGAACTGAGGAACTTAAGAACATAGGCAAAGAGGGGTGTCACAGGTAAAGGGGTAGAATCTCACCTGTCTGGGGGTTCACCATCCCCAGAGGTCCCTGCGGTGCTGGCAGAGGGGTGGAAGGAAGCGAACATCCGGATGGGACTGCTGGGGTTGGGGAGGGGGAAAGTCAGGACCTGGGAACAGCACCCTCTCCCCCTGAGAAGGGCAGAGCTCAAACACTACCCCCAAGGAACCCCCATCCCCTGAATACTGGGGATCGGACATTGGTTCTAGAAGTCTCTCTAGGACAAGAAGTGAGTAGCCAAGGGGGAGAGAGAAAAGAATTTTGGGTGAGAAAGTCCAGAGGATGTAGACAATTGGAGGAGAGGTTCCAAGGGAGCATATCTGGTTGGAGGGTGGAGGAGCACTGACCTGGGCAGACAGCGGGCATCTGTGGGCCGGAAGTTGTAGCCGCTGCTGCCCTGGTAACTCTGGTTAGGGCTGGGGGGTGGTGGAGACACTGAGGCCTGGAAGAAGGAGCACAAGACTGAGAGATAATCCTTGATTCCTTCCCACACCGCCATTTGCCCCATGGCATTCCCTCTGCCCCTGTACCTGCAGTGCCCTCTGCAGACGAGCCCGCTCCCTCTGCTCCTGGGGCTCGGGCTGATTGCGCACTGCTGAGGGTGGCCCCAGCTCCTCCATTTTCCCCTTCTGCCTCCTCCTCAGGGGCTCTGGCTCCGGCCTCCGGCGCTTCCCCAGGGGACGTGAGACCCCTCCCCCAGGGCCCTGCCCTGAAGGGAAGCTGTAAGAGGCCTCCTTATCCCCCCAGCCCCCTCCCGGACACCCCAAAGACCTCCCCATCTCCATACATATACCCCCAGATTAATACCCTGAGAATTTCCCCATCCCCCCTGGACCAGTGACCTGGTGGGGGCTCCATCTCCAGTAGGTGGCTCCACAGGGGGAGGGATCCGAGCATGGAGACCAAACAAGCATTTCCTCTTCTTAATCTCCCTCCCTGAAATGAAACTGGGGTGAGGAGAGAAATGACATAGGGTCAGTGCTGTAGAAAAGCGCCCCTCTGATGCCATTATTCAGTCCTTTTCAGAGATGATCTTCCAGGTAAGTTGCGGCCCCTCCCTTCCCAGGCTTCCATATCCATATCTCCATCTCTTTCTGAGCCTCCTTCCAACTTACCGGTCCTTGTGGCTGTTGAGAGCAGATAGGAGCTTGGAAGAACGTTCTCCCTTGGGGGTGTCTGAGAGCTGGGAAAGCGGAAAGAAAATGGGATCAGGGGAGCAGTGATCCCTCCCTTCCCCTTTTCTTCACATCTCCTTGTTTCACCCTAACCCCCAAAGCTTCACTACCCCTTACCTCCCCAAGGAGCAAACTGTCCCAATTCTCAGAGGTGAAGGGGAGGATCTCGCGGTCAAAATCAAAATATTTTTTCTTACAGCAAACGCTGAGGTGATAGAGGACAAGATGGGCCACATCCACCCTGCAGAAACATTGAGTTGTCAGGGTTGTGGAAGCATTACAAAAGCCAAGGGAGTCCCGAGGTGGAAGGTTGGGGCATGTAGGGTGAAATACTGGGGCTGTTGAGAGAGGAGTTATGCTGAGGTTGTGCCCAATCCAGCTCACCAGCGAAGCTGTAGCCTCCTGACCTTCTCCGGGCCCCCCCGACACACACAGCATTCAAACTCATAGAACCTGGATGTGGGCAAGAGGGAGAGAACACACCTTACACAGGAAAACTGTACCATGCTACGGAGGACTCACAAGCAAGGATGGGACAAACAGGTGGGGGAAAGCTTCAGAGGTTGGGAAGAGAAGGGATCTGAGAGGGTGGAGCAGAGCAGGAGGGCTCCCTTGGCTCCTGGAGAGTCTGCCCTGGTCTCACCTGTCCCCATAGAGGAGGGGCTTGCTCAGACACTGGGTGCAGGCCTCGTGGAACCATTGCAGGCAGCTCCGGCACTGTAGCATTTTCAGGTTCCACCTGAAGGGGACCCAGGACTAATGACCTCCAGACACTTCCCCCTTTAACTGACGCAAACCACCTACTTCCATCCCCTTCAGCACTCCCCTTGCCTTGTTTTTTCTCCTTCACTTCCTGGGATTCCCCCCACCACCACATCACACTCATTCCTTAACCCCCCCCGCCACTCATAACTCACTCCCCAGGGCCACCACAGTAACAGTAGCTCTGTTGCCGGTTGCTCAGATGTCCAGCGTCCCAGTCCAGCCCCTTTAGTCCGTATGGCAGAGAGAGCTTCATGCCCAGCATGGCACGGGCATAGGGGCCCTTCTTCAGTGCACCACCCCTCTGCAGAGATAGAACAGGCAGGCCAGGCACCTCAGAGGAGTGGGGACAGGAAAGGCTTGGGAGAGGATGTGGGTGGCAGGCTCCCACAGGAAGGTGCCTTTACCTTGGTGGCGATGGCAAAGACACACTGGCGGCAGACCCAGGATGTGCCCTCTCCCTCTCCAGGGGCTGGGGCCCTTGGAACATGGCAGTCCTGGTGATAAGCTGAATAATGATAATATTGATGGTTGACCACTTATTGCAACTGGTATGTGCATGTGTATGCAACCTGTGTGTGCAAGGTATTGGAACAGGAAGTCTTATCCATCTCATTTAATCCTTGACCATGGTCCTGCTGGGGTGGGTGTATTGCCCTTATTTTACAGGTAAGGGAACTGAGGCTCCTAGAAGTTTAGGGACTTGCCCAAGGTCATATGACTAGAAAAGAGTGTATTTGAACCACCCTCTGCCCGCAAAGCTCACACATCCCCATTCCATGGCTGCCTCTCGCTGTGCTAGAAAGGAGTGAGCTTACAGGGTTGAGGAGACTGGCAAGAGCAGTGGCAGTAGCCGGGGGACTCAGGCCAGGACAGGTGGCATAAGGACCAGTGCTGGAGGGAGGAGTCAGAAGTAGCCTGGAAGGCCCAGGGCAAGCTGGACCATTCAGGTGTCCTGCCCTCTCACCATGGCGACACTTCTCACAGCTGACCAGCCGGTTCCCAGGGACCACAGTCTCAGAGCGACAGACACAGCACAGGAGTTCCTCCCCAGGGAGAGCAGCTGTGAAGGAACACAGTGTCAATGGGCCTGTGCTTGAGCCCCTTGCTGTCCCCCAAGCCAGTTTTCTGTTTTCTGTGGGATGTACACTCTGAGACCTTGGGGATCTCACCAGGGCTAATATCTTTCCATAGAACCAGAAACTGAGAATCATCCTCAAACTGGACCAGACACACCTCCCGAGCGCTGTCCACCTGGAATGGGTGAGCACAGAGGATGAAACAGGAATCAGAAGTAGATAAGGGGAATGGGGAAAAGGAAACAGGTCAGAGGTCAAAGGTCTTACCTTCTTGATGGTCCCCAAGTATAGAAGCCCATCTGTCCATCTGGCCAGCACATCTTGACCCTCCCAAAGTCGAGGCCTGGGGCCTGAGGTGGGAGCAGGGGAAGCTGGATCCCAAAGAGGGAGGGCACCAGAGCGGCTCAGCCGGGGGGGCTGTGCCATTGCATCCTGGGGGGGGCCTAGCCAGAAGTGGGATGGGAGGAGGAGGAGGTTATGAATGCTGAGAGACTGGCCCCATTTTGTTTGCCTATGTTTCTTTCAAGGTCTCAGGCGGCTGTGCCCCCAGTCTCTAAATCCCTGAGACATCTGGATAGGAAACCTCTCGGCACCCCTCCCGAGCTTCTTGACTCTAGTTCTCCCAACTCTAGTGACTGGCTCTCCTTTCCCTAACCAGCCCCCCAACCTAGTTGTCTAGTTTCCCAGCTTCCAGAGCTCCCCTGGGATATTATATCCTGGCCTGAGATTTTAGCAGAAACGATGGTTGCAGAAGCAAAGGTTACCACTCAGTTTCTACTGTCACCTTCTCTTGCTGTTGAGAGGTATCATAATTGGGGTGCTGTTACCCAGAGATGTGTTTTGGGAGCTTTTCGGGAGATGTTTTCCAGAGTAGAAACAGCTGCCTCCCGGGGCCGGCATGTCTCATTCAGAACAATCATCCTGGTGCCAGGTTACATCAGGTCACCCTCAAATTCGGGGCTCCCTGCCCCCGGGTTAGATAAGTTCCCTGAGTGCCCCGGGAGGGGGGCGTGTCCCAGTCCCGGTCTCTACTCCCCATGACGGCGAGTCCGAGAGGGGACTTGAGTCGGCCCAGCCGGACCCGATGCCAGAGCGGCGAGGCTCTCCCGCCCGCGCCCTGCGCGCCGACCCCCGGCTCCCTGCCCCCCCACGGGCGCCTCCCGCCGCCTCCTTACCAGTGACAGCTGGGGCCGCCGAGAGCCGGGCAGTGGCAGACGTGGGAGACCGAGGCGAACCCCCCGCGCGAGGAGGGCACGTCTGGGCGTCGGGGGGCGTGCAGGCAGAGGCCGGGGGGTCCCCAGGCCCAGCCCCTCCGTCCCGGCGGCTCTGGGGCGTATGACGCAGCAGCCAAAGCAGCGGCAGCGGCAGGAGGAGGCGGCGGGGGAAAGGAGGGGAGAGGAGGGGAGGGACAAACCGGCTCGGGGGGAGGGTGGTGGGAGGGGAGGACTGGGGGGAAGGAGGAGCCGGGGGGGGGGGCGGAGAGGCGGGCACCACCTCACCCCACCTCCCTCACCTCCAACAGGCCTGGAGGGCGCCGAGCAAGCGGCGGCCTCTCCGCAGCTGAGCCGGGCGGACGGTCGGACCCCGCGGGAGAGGGAATCCCCGCAGCCCCTTCCTCCGAAGGGAGACCCGCCCCCGGGGCAGGAGGGAATCCCCCCTCCCGGCAACCCGCCTTCGGACTGGCCCCCGCCCCATGCCACATCCGTTAACTGCCCCCCCAACCTCCACGGTCACTCCAAGACCCGCCCCTCGGCCCCAGTTCACGACCCCGCCCTCCAGTCACCCTTCCCATTGCCCCCGCCACGCCCTCCTCCCTCGAGTGCCCCGCCCTCCTCCCGCTGTTGCCCCCGGCCCCGCCCTCCCCGTGGCAAGTTGTCCCCCCGCCACTGCCGCGCTTCTGCGCACGCGTGACCCCTCCCGCGCGCGGCACCTGGGAGCACTGAGCCCCTCCTTCATGGGGCGGCGGCCGTTGGCGGTTGGCGCGAGGGATCCGGCGGGCGTGCGTCCCGCCCCGCGCTTCCAGGGCGGGGGCACGGACCAGGAGGTTCGTACCGAGGCGGTGACGCCACCTAGAGCCAGCCAATGGGCAGCGGGCGGGGCCGGCCCTGGCCGTTCGAACGGGAAGGCAGGGAAAGGGCGGGAGAAAAGAGCCAGCAGTTTGTGGGAGGGCGCGCCGGTCCCGCCCCTGGGCTCGGGTGCCCACCTTCCCACAGCTACCGCAGGATCATTCCTGCCCGGGGCTGGCGAGGCCCGTGCAAGGGGGAGCCCTAACTAGTGACTGTGGATGGCTAGCGGGCACATATCCTGGATGTGGACGACGGGGGAGGGCATGGGAGCTGAAGGCCACCCAGACTCCAGGGGACGGCATGTCAGGGAGAAAAGCCAAGCCCTTGCTCGGCAAAACACAAATGCTTGGCCGACTGGCCAGACCCACAGTTCTCATCTTTACAGATAAGAAAAATATCTCCCTTCTTGGGCAACAGCTAATACAACCTTTATTTTTAAAAAAACAACAAAAAACTGTTCTTTATTTGATAGGCCCAGGTAACACAGCGCCCCCTCCCAACGAAGCATCCCTCAGCCCCCCACTCCGTCCCCACCCCCACCCCCTCCCCCCCCACACAGAGGATCTGGATCTGTCTTCATTTCCTGTTGGCCTGGGCAGTACCAATAACACACTGGTTCACCTGTGGGCAGGTTTAGACAGGATAAAAAAATTTTCAGAGTAACCAAAAGAATAGTTTTCCCAAGATCACCTCCCAACCCACACTATTAGGGCTGCCCTCAGAGAATACTGAAATAACAGCTCTGAAGGCAGGTTCGGGCTGGTCTCAGTTACAGTGAGTTCTGTGCCCACTAGGCACACCAGATCTGGAAGAGGTGAAAAGGCCTGAGAAGGGATGGCAGCCCCACACAACAGCAGAGAGGAGCTTCCATTTCTAGAGATATTGTGGACTAGAGACTCCAAAGCCCTCCCACTACTAATGCTTAATATGCTAGATAAAGCAATAACAACACTCATTTAGGAACCAAGGCTCCTTGGAAAATGAATGATTCCAAGTCTAGGGCAGGAAATGTACAAGATGAATCTGGAACAAAGATTACTGGGGACTTGTCTAAAGGACACAGGAGCCAACTTGAAGGAGCTCCCACTGGCCAAAGATGCAACAATTTGAGCATCAGAAAGAACAACTGCAAAGGATATCTATCAAATACACAAGCATCTGTAAAATGATACCCCCAGATAAAAATTCACTGGTTACCTTTGGAAGGTGCCAGGATATCAACTTAACATACTGAAAATTGATAAAGAATCCAGCATTTATCCTGCCTTTATTATAGGGACTGAGTTTTAGAATAACAAGATAGATAGCAAGGGGAAGTTCTTTAGAGAAGAATTATGACTAATAAATGTAGAACAATTTGAAAATCACCATTTTAAAACTTACTAATGAAATAACAGATCTAGGTATGATCATTGTTTGATAAAATCACTAGGTGAAAAAGTCAATAGGGAGTTTTAAAATGGACAGATCAGGCTGACAACACCCAAATCCAATGATCCATTTTTCTATCATTAAAACTGGAACAACTAGATATTAGGTGCCTCCTGATATGATGCAATAGAAAGTGTACCACACCATCTAAGTTTTCTTGCCAAAAAATCTGAGCCTGATTCAAATCTAATCAAGCCTCTAAATCTAACTACCAGATAACAAAAATTATGGAGAAAAAAGGAAGCAATAAACCGAAATCCAGAATGTAGTATATTGTATAGGACAAATGACCCTATTTCTTCAACAAATAAATGCCAAAAAGGGGGTGCAGTTTCTATAGACTTAAATTTCTTTTAGAGACAATTTCAACCAAATGAAAGGGGTAGCCCTTGCTTAAATCCTGATTGGAACAAAGCTAATGTATAAAAGAGATAATCAGGTGAAATTTAACATAAACTGGGTATTAGAGGATATTAAAGAGTGCAAGTTGTTGGGTATTCATGATGTTGATATAACTTTATTGAACTGGCAAGACAGCACGGGAAATCCTGATCAAAGCACAAGACCAGGGCAGGTGCTGAGGCGGCTGACTATGTCCATGGCAGCAACCGGGGCTGAAGCCCAAAAGCAGCAGGGCTCACCATCAGAGACCCTGGGTAAAGCCAGGACCCATCATAGGGCTGTACTCTCAGGAAAACGAGTAACCAGAGGAAAAAATGACCCTCCAGAGGCAGACAGTAAAGAAACTTTCTGACTTAACTCTAGTGGAGGGGAGCATAAGTCTCCTAGAGATTAATGGCCATGGTCACAGCCAACCCTCATGGGGTTTGGAGCCTGAATTGACACTATTTGGAATGGTCTGAAAAACCTTTAAGTCTCCTTTGATCCAGCAATCCCATTTCAAGGAATCTCCCCCTAGATAGTTAGATGCAACTAAACAAATACAGAATGACATATGTACAAGATTAGTCAATACGGCCTTGCCTGTAATAGAAAAAAGGTGGAAACAATCCAAGTGTCCAGTGGAGGGAACTGGTGGATAAACTTTGGTGCATCCACACAATGGAGTCCCAGGCAGACATAAGAATAATGGGATGATCTCTGTGTGCTGGTGGGGAGTAATCCTGGGGCTGTCTTGTTAAGCAAAATGCAGCAAGGAACAACATATATATGAGACAGAGAGGATGAGGGATGTCTTTTATATAAGAAGGAGAGGAATAAGCACATGCATATTGCTTGTAGTTGCAAAAAGAAACATTGGAAGGATAAGTAAAATGATAAATGATAAAAATGACTCCCTCTCCTAGGACAGGAAGGGAAGATGGGGTGGAAGCGGTGGTGGTAAAACTTCATTTGTTGTGTACAGCTTTCTATATAGTTTTGACCTTCCTTTTAACGACCTATTTTTAAAAACTTAATTAAAAATCCCCAAAAGCCAATACGTAAAAAATGGATCCAAGCAACTAGAAGGATGTGCAGCTATGACATACAGCTATCTACTGGGGCTTTGTGGGGAAAAACAAATAAATAAATAAAATTATTAAAAAAAAAAAAAAGGATCCAGGTGGGTAGTGCCTCAGATGCCTGGCAAATATAAATCCTTTCTGGATGAATGTGACTCCTGGCCTAGAGGACAGAAGGGGTCAAGATGGAGAAGCCTTAAAACGCAGGGGTCCTGACAGGGCCTGGGCTTGCTGGTAAACGCACCTTGGAGGCAAAGCGTAGGGAGTTGAGGGACTCGGAGACATTCTCTTCTAGGGGGGAAATGTTCACAAACATGAGCCTGTGGAGAGAGGAAAGGGGGCCGAACCCCAGGATCAGCGGCTGGGCGGAGCCTAGACCAGGTCTCCACTGTTTCCCCTTTCCCACCCCTGACCCCAACATCACAGTTCCCACCTGACCCCTTCCGCGTGTCTCTATCACTCACATCTTAGCACTGCCACCCAGAGAGTTCTGCAGCAAGTAGGTGAGCTTGCTGTTCCGGTAAGGTATGTGGGACTCCTAGAGGATTGAGGGGGACAGATGATTAGGAGAGGACAGGGTTCAGCATGGCCAGCCCCAACCTATCCCCAGGTTCCAGCTGCCCCCTCCCCTATTCCCACCTTGTTGCTCAAGGCCATGATGACCAGCCCCAGCGTGGACAGGCTGCTGTTAATGGCCTGTGTTTCCCGAAGGCGTTCCCGCTCCCCAGGGCCAAGGGCTAAGCCGGGGTCTAGCCGCTCGCTCCCGGCCAGGTCCACAAGACTGAGGGGGGCCCCGCACTGCAGGCCTCGTGCAGCATGCTCCCCAGAGATCTGCAGCTGGAACACACTGTGACTGCGTGATGACCGCTCGTTCTGGGCTGTGCGGGCTACAGCCCGGTTCTGGCGGGCCAGATGGAGCAGGGCCTCCACCTGGGGATGGGGAGCAGCAAGGGGCAAAGGCAGGCAGGAAGTCAGTACGCAGTGATGTCAAGTATGGCATTGAACGAGAGTCAGCACCTCCCCTCTTAGACCTTTCTTTCTAGCCAGTGAAGAGACAAAAGAAATAAGTAAAATGCACAGTATGTCTGAGAGTACTAAGGAGTAAAATAAAACATAAAAATAGTGTATGAGGGTGGGGTGAGGGTTGTGATTTTAGTCAGGATGGCCAGGGACAGCCCAGAGTGTGACTGCCGGGCAGAGGAACAGCCAGGAGGCCAGCATGGCTGCAGTGAATTGGGCAAGGAAAGTAGTAGGACATGAAACCTGGGATGCCACAGGCAGGGGGCCAGCGACACCCCCCTTCAGCAGATGCATCACTCCTCTCCACTCCCTGGTTCTATTAAGGCAGATCCACCTTACAGCCCACCAGCTGAAACTGCATGTGGCAACCTATCCTTCAACTTTCTCCTGCTCCCTTCTCTATCCACCTCCATCTCGTGTC